AAGTGTTGGATTTTAACAAAATTGGCAACATGAATAAAAGGCTGAACATAAGGTTACACAATCAATGTAGTGTATTTATTGCTATTAACAGTAGAATAGAAGGTCGCAAAATGGATGAAGGGGGTCAAAAGGTACAAATTAAGTCCTGAGGATATGTACAACATGGAGACTAAAGTTAATGATACTGTAGTATATATTTGAAAGTTGCTAAGTTAAAGTTCTCACAAGAAAATAAAGTCTCTGACTGTGTATGGTAACAGATGTTAATGGAACTAATATAATGCTATATGTCAATTCTATCTCACAAAAAAGTAGAATTAGACATTGTTTCAAATTTCAGATTATATGACTACTATGTGTCAGTATGGGTTGAAGTGATATCAAAACAATATCATAATTAATGGATTCAAACAATTAAAAACAATTTGTGCAGCGTTTTCTTTGTGAAAGCAACTCTTAGCTCAACTGTGCAAGCTCATGATCTTCCTAACAAAATTCTGTATTATGAGTTCAGTAAATTCAGTAACAATCACAAAAAAATTAACTTGTGTTCTCCATTAGATGTAATTCCAAGTATTTTGTTCTTCTATGTTAAGGGGGTTTTAAGTAATTTTTTTTTTCTGAATTGAAAGATACATACTGAGACTGTTTCCCACACCCTTTGTGTTTTTCTCCTAACTTGAGCAGAAATATGATTATTTCATGAGTATAGAGTCACAACATCTTAAGTTCAAATACTGGCCCCTCTATTATTCATGTGATCTTATGCAAATTACCTCTGAGTTTCATTTTCCTCGTGTCATAACATGTCATGATAAAGAACTAAGAAGAATGCTTGGCACACAGAACTAATTCAAGTAACCAATACTAAAGAAAAAAATTTATAAAAACTCCATCATTTTATAAATAGGAAATATAATTATAAATGCACATCTGAGATATAACTTCATATTAATGTTCTCAAATTTTAAAGTACTGTAACGCAATATTCCCTAAACTTCAGATATAACCACATATTTGTTGTACTGTTACTTACAAGTTATACCTTTTTTTCTCTATACCCAACTGGAATATTTAGGTATATGAGTTATATTTTTTTAAATATAAACATAAAAATAATATTACACAGATTAAAGATGATCTCGAACCTCCTAGAATCATCTTGTGTCTGGCAATGGTATTGAACCTCACTTTAGTAATCATTGCATAATAATATACTTCTCCAGATTATTTTCCTAACAAAAATTTTTACCAGTATGAATTTTGTTCAATAATTTACAAAGCAAGTAGATTTATGAACATCGAATATATTCCAGAAAATCTAGGTTAACTCATTAAAAGTTAAGTAGAGGACCTAACAGGAGTTTATGATTCCCAAAAGCTTCTAAAATTGACTAATAAATATGGGTGGTTCATGCTAACTAATATAATAGGTTCATTAGCTTCAGGCTTTGGTCATAAGGCATCATTAAAAGACATAACTGAGTGTTGTATATCTGAAACCAATATAAGATTGTATATCAATGATACTTCAATAAAAAAAGGAAATATAATGAGATGCACAAAAAAATAAAAAACAAAGGACATTAACTGAGAATATGAAATGTGACTAATACCTGTTAGCACCACAAAGGAGTATTACCAGGTTATGTTTACTGGTAAGACTGAGCAAAGCTAATTCCTTTTCTTTCAATATTTGAAATAGATCATGGAACAATTTCTGAATATCAGAGAAGATTACGTAATGAAAATAGCATATACTTCTCAAAAGAAAAAAATTTATTTAGTAAACTTGGCTTTTTTCCTATGTAAATAAACAGAAAAAGACAAGTTGGCTTTTAGAACATAAGATATCAGACATATTAATATTATAGGGTTGTAAAAGATCTATCGTGGTGTATTTCATTAATACGTGATTAAAATCACTGAGGAAGTCACCTATTCTGAAATATAATTAGTAAGGATCAGAATACTGTCAATCAGATGGGTTATATAATCCAATACTTCAAAATCATTGCCAATATTTCTTGTGGAATTTAAGCGTCTCTGTTAGAGCTAACAGTTAAGTATAGTTTGAAATGCCTGTCACATTAGTAAAAGTATTTTAGAACTATATACAACATTTGTGGGTTTCCTACAAAGTGTAGGAGTTGGGGGTGATCTCTGTAATAACAACTTCTCCAGCAAGGATTTCTCATTAGGATTTGGGAAAGTCTATCTGTATGCCTTTATTGTTTATATATGCATCTACAGAGGAAGTTATAAGATGCAGCTTTTAAATTACTTGTAAACTATATTTGTCTAATTCAGTAAGTTTTTCTTCTCAGCAAAGAATAAGCCAGGATAGATAAATTTATTTTTTCTTTCAACCCTTGCACCACGGGGTATCACCAGGGTGTGCGTATCTTTTTGAAAAGTGGCTATAGATAAGGGGAAAAATAAGTTCAATGGAGAGTTGGTTGTTCAACTCATTTCCTCCCCTGAAAATGTATGGAGAACAGACACCAGAAGAAAACTGTTGCAAGGCCATGGGGCAAAGCCCTGGTAGGAGTATCTCAATATGATCATTCAAGTAAAATGATGCAAATTCAAATTACTTCAAGGAAAAAGATGGTAAGATATATGGTGAGCATGAAATAAAGCAGAGAGTATCAGGGGCTACACAAACTGGAGAGGGTGTGCTCCAGCCAAAGGCCTTACAGGTAAAAAAAAATTAAAATGAATTTGTGCAGGCAACACAAAACATATGCTGACCTAATTGAGACCACAGGCCATGAGACTGAGATGCACGTTAAAGTCTAGGGGCTTACCACATTGCCAATCAGGAAAATGCAAATCAAAACCACAACGAGATATCACCTCACACCAGTTAGGATGGCCACTATCCAAAAGACAAGAAATACCAAGTGTTGGCAAAGATGTGGAGAAATGAGAACCCTCCTACACTGTTGGTGGGAATGTTAATTGGTGCAACCACTGTGGAAAGCAGGATGGAGTTTCCTCAAAAAAATAAAAATAGAAACACAATTTGACCTAGTAATTCCACTTCTAGGAATTTACCTGAAGAAAACAAAATCCCTGATTCAAAAGGATACATGCACCCCTATGTTTATCAAAGCACTATTTACAATAGCCAACATATGGAAGCAACCTAAGTGTCCATCAATAGATGAATGTATAAAGAATATGTGGTACATATACACAATGGAATATTATTCAGCCATAAAAGTAAAAATCCTGCCATTTGCAACACATGGATGGATCTACAGGGTATTATGCTCAGTGAAATAAGGCAGGCAGAGAAAGACAAATACTATATGATTTCATTATTTGTGGGATATAAAAACGAAGCAAAACAGAATGAACAAAACAGCAGTAGACTCATAGACACAGAGAAGGTACTGGGTGGTTACCATGGGGGAGGGGTTGGGAAGAGTGGGTATGGAGTGGGAGGGGGAGAAAGGACCCAAAATTCTCAATCACAATATACATTGGTTACAAGGATGATAGTACAGCACAAGGAATATAGTCAATGATTCTGTAGCATCTTTCTGTGTTGACAAATAGTAACTGCACTAGAGGGGGTAAGGATTTAATAATACAGGTTAACTGTTGAACCACGTGGTGTTGCACATTTGAAGTCAATATAAGATCGTAAATCAAAGATATTTCATTAAAAGAAAAAAGTCTAGAAGCTTACCAATAAGGTAAATGTACAAAGAAGAAGTTAAACTGAGCTCATTCTCTCTGCTTCCCCTTAAGAATCTAGATTTCTTGTGTGTGTTTTTATTTTTTCTTTTTCATATCTGTGCTTTTAGATTCAGCCAATACAAAATATCTACATGTAAGCAGAACATACACATATTAAAAATTAACTTCCAAATTAGTTTGACACTGTCAATATTACACAGCATTCATTAAACAAAAGCAATAGACATCTTATTACACATAGCACCTGCCTACAGAGAACTGGTCTTCCTCCGTTCTATACCTACTCTGGAGACACCGTCAATGGAGGTGTCTTACTGTCCCTGCCACAGTGCCCACTGCTTCATTCAAGAGAGGACACATGACACCAGAGGGTCATTCAAAGACCTTTTCTAGCATTAAAAGAGACCAAGACAATTCCTTCTGAGATTGAGAAGGATGAGGATGTCACATGCACAGAGGTACAGGAGTCATCTTTCCTACTGACACAGAGACCCGCAGAGAATGGAGTGATCCCAGAAGAAACTAGAGACACAAAATGGAACAAATTCCTGAAATATAATAAATCACCTGGACAAAACTGTGCCTATATCTAGTCAACCCCAGAATTTTCAATTATGGAAGTTAATAAATTCTCTTGTGTTTAAACTAGTTTAGACTGTTTCTATTACTTACAAACAAAAGAATGTCATAAATATAAGAGACAAAGAAGAGATTTCAGTTTAATTTGTACTATCCACTCACACCTTGCTATACACCCTAGGGCTTCCCATTCAAAGAGTAGACCAAATTTTTCCCCGAGGGATTTTTCTAATCCAACATACAAAGACAGTAATTCTAAATTATCCCATTATCCCACCCTAATCATCAATGTTTTTAGATAGGGATACAAAAGAAAAAAACACTACCTTATTTGATAACTCCCCAGGCTTAGTATATATTCTCTCTATATTTTGACACAGCCATTCTTTAATAGAGGATAAAATTTATCATTATTAATAGTCAAGGTATCAATTATTAAAGTATCAGACACACTAGCCTTATTTTATGAACCCAACTAAGTATTGACAGAATTTAAAATACCAACCATAATACATCAATATCGACGAGGTGGTCCAAAACAAAGAAAACACAAATGCCATCCAATCTACCAATCTTAGAGACATGATTAATGAAAAAACTTTTTCAGAAAAACCATTATCACCACCTCCATTTCCAGCAGTTAAATCAATAGTCTCTCTCACCACAGGCTTCAAAGGTGAACCAAGCCAAAGAATGAAATGCATACTCACAAATTATAAAGCATGTCAGCCATGTTGCTCCGGTAATACAAAGCATTTCTATAGGCGCCTTCGGCTTCAGAAATTTTGCTCTGACTCTTCAGAACATTTCCAAGGTTACCCCATGCTGCCAAGAAGAGACAGAGGTATTCAGGCTGAGCATCAATCCAATTATAACATGACATAATATCAGGCCACCAGGAAGTACCACAGGGGGAGAAAAACCTTCAAAAGACATTTTTAAGAAGGAAAACTTATTTCCTGTATACTCCAACATTTCATCAAACCAAGAGATAAAATAGAATCAAAGCCTAAAAAATGTAAAGAAATTATTATGTCTCGAAACTGATGATATACATATACACTTCATCATAATGCCAAGAACAATATTATCTTAAGATCACCTACAAAGACTACATGCTTTTTCAAATTTCAGTAGGAGTCTTCATGGCCTGAAATTATTGCATATTTACTGAACAAAAGAAACTGTGAGAAATCATCTTAAACAAAGATTTCCCTGAATCATGCAAGAAATGATTAATGACATAGAAGAACGGGGACTAAAAAGCAAGATGACTAAGTAAGATCAAAGCTATAAGGAGGCTTAACAGTCATCAGAACATATAAGTAAAACAAGTATATATATATCATTTATTCAAAAATAATGTTCTTTCATACTCTTTCTAATAAATTCATCGGTAGGAAAATCAGCATTTCAGTATTTTCACACATCACCAAAATAGTATTTCACACATAAAAAATGTATTTAAAAATCTTATGTCCTATGTACCCTTTACTTTTCACCACAAATAATCATGATTTTTCAACATCAAAAAGAACAAAAAAATATACTCTCAATAGCTGCCTGCACAGCGTCTCTCAGGCAGACCTCTCTCTCCAATGTGGACGGTTCTCATCTTCTTCCCTTCCTACAAGGGGATGTGGCATTGAGTCCTGGAGACAGAGTCCCTCTCAACTACGGACAGGGGCGAGAAGAAGGTATGCCTATGTCAAGATTTATCTGGGTAATTACTATCTGGAAAATGAAAGTGGTTTTGAGTTTTTAATGCATAAACAAGAGTAGAATCCTTCACCCCAGCTTTGCTTATGTGCCCTCTAGTTCAACACTCTGGGCCTTAATTTACTCATCTGTAAAAGGGGAAAACTAATTAGTATCTTATGGGTTTTGCCAAGATTGAGTTAATTTACCTAGGGTGTTTAAGACTGCCACACAGCAAACACTCAATAAATATCTGCTATTATCACTAATACTTTGGCTGATACTCCATGTGATTTATGACAGCAGACATTGCTATAGAAATAACATCAAGTACAATGCACTTTATGCCTTTCTGTTATCTACAGAAAATAATAATCTTTCATATTTGGGAAGTCATGGACCTCCTTTGGCCTTTGATAGGCAAGAGGAAAAGCACTGTACTTATAATTATCCAGCACCTAAAATGCCACATACCACACCACACTATGGAAATTTACCATCTCACTGAGCTCTCACGCAGTCCTGTACATAAACATCGCATCCACTCTGCAGACAAGGAAACAGACTCAGAGACACGAAAGAACTTGCCAATAACGCAGGCGTGACAGAGCGGAGATTCCAGTCCAAAGCTGGCTGCTTCCAAACTTTTTCTACCCTCCACCTAACAATTTCATAGCATGTTTTATTTTTGACTGCAAACCAACATTCACACACTACAAATTAGGGCTTGACAGTGTAAGCCCACAGAAGACTGAATCCTTACACCGAAAACAGTTTAAAATATCATCAAAGTCAAACAGTAAATTTAGTAACTGGAAACACAAAGTAGGAAAAACATGATGAAATAAATTACAAATATGTTCAAACTTAATAGGCATAAGATCACATATATTTTATATCTAGCCTCCCCAACACCACTACCAAATTAAATTAGGGCACTATGGAAAATTCTAGTAGCCAGGCTGTTTTTCAGCCCACCTTACCCCTCCCAAAATTTGGCTCTGATTGTGGCATCAGTGAATGAAAATATGTTTAAATAGGAATTACTCCAGAGAAAGTCATCCAAATATTAATTAAAGCACCAGAAAAACAACATTTTAATGTTATTCCATCTAAACCATCATCTTAGAAAAATATGTTAAAAAAATACCTAATAAAGAAATTACTTTGATTATTTTAAGGTGCATTTCCAGAGAAACAGGTTGATTTTTTTTAAGTACATTTACCTCAATGAAATGAAAAATCGATAAGCGTTTCTCTTGCTAATAGTCAATAGACATAGAGTTACATCTAGACTACATGTTTACTTATTTGGTTAGTCATTCACTTATTCATTCATAAGTGTATTTATTTATTAAACAGATATTTGTCAAGTGCTTATTTTGTGCCAGGGACTTGAGGGCTGGGTACTTAGAACTGTTCATACATAGGAGTTCCCACCCACACGGAGCTTATATTTGAAGTAAGGAGCAGGGTGGGAATGAGTGTGATCTTTAAGGACTAAAGGATATAGAGCCAGCCTTGCAGAGGTCGGTGGTTCTGGGTAAAGGGAACAGTAAGAGCAAAGGGTCTAAGGTGGCTTCCCCTGGGACAGGCTGCAGAGCACGTAGTTATTTCAAAGTGAGAATACAACTCAGAATTGAAATTCATCAGCAAGGTTATCTGGGGCAAAGCCACAACATGATACCACATTTCTTGTTTTTTTTTTGTCCAAACAGAAATCTCTCACATCCTTATGATTAAGTCATTGACCCAGGTAACTGGGAAAATAAAAAGAAAACCCCCAAATTAAGCATACATTTTTAAAACAACTTTTAACTTCTCACGGGTGGGAGAAGAAGAAAGAAAGGGAGAGAGGCAGAAAGGAAGCACCGATTTTGACATCCGGAGTTCATCTGACACTCACACCAGGTTATTTTGGTCTCCTGTTGTACATATAAAATCTTACCGCCTGAGACAAGGTTGCTTTGGGATGATGATAAATGGGATGAAGCAAGGTCACTTCATAATTTTGCTGAACACACACAAAAAAAGTCCACTGTACAACCCACAAAATACCAGACCTCCTCCTCTCTGGCCAAATGAATGATTTCTTTATCCAGTCATAGTATGTTTTATTTTTGACTGCAAACCAGCATCTAACCTAGAGGACACCCCTGCTTCCTTAGACACTCTCTCCAATCATACAACGGAAGCCCAAATCCTTTATTAGGACATATAATGAGATACCCCAGGATTCCATGGTAAAGTGTTCTCTCAGTGCAAGGAGTAATGAAGACTGCAGAGCACGTAGTTATTTCAAAGTGAGAATACAACTCAGAATTGAAATTCATCAGCAAGGTTATCTGGGGCAAAGCCACAACATGATACCACATTTCTTGTTTTTTTTTGTCCAAACAGAAATCTCTCACATCCTTATGATTAAGTCATTGACCCAGGTAACTGGGAAAATAAAAAGAAAACCCCCAAATTAAGCATACATTTTTAAAACAACTTTTAACTTCTCACGGGTGGGAGAAGAAGAAAGAAAGGGAGAGAGGCAGAAAGGAAGCACCGATTTTGACATCCGGAGTTCATCTGACACTCACACCAGGTTATTTTGGTCTCCTGTTGTACATATAAAATCTTACCGCCTGAGACAAGGTTGCTTTGGGATGATGATAAATGGGATGAAGCAAGGTCACTTCATAATTTTGCTGAACACACACAAAAAAAGTCCACTGTACAACCCACAAAATACCAGACCTCCTCCTCTCTGGCCAAATGAATGATTTCTTTATCCAGTCATAGTATGTTTTATTTTTGACTGCAAACCAGCATCTAACCTAGAGGACACCCCTGCTTCCTTAGACACTCTCTCCAATCATACAACGGAAGCCCAAATCCTTTATTAGGACATATAATGAGATACCCCAGGATTCCATGGTAAAGTGTTCTCTCAGTGCAAGGAGTAATGAAGCCAACTTTTTTACTACCAGCATGTTCCTGGTGGTCTGTGGCCTAAAAGCACTGGCATGAGGATTTCATCAGACTCCAACATGAAAACAATCCCTTCACAAGATCCCTTCTTCCTTAAATAATTGTCCTTCAATGCTTTGCTTACCAAAATAATTTTAGGTTTTTTAAGTCAAAGGAGCCACAATTAAGCCTAAAATTGTTGGGTTTTGGTGTGAAAACTGTCATCACTATTTCCATAATTTCAAATTTAAATGTTATTGATTTTTGCATCAGTGCTTCCAAAACTCTGATAATACAAAGATCAGATCACTTTTAAAAATGTAAAGCTAGCCTACAGAATATGGATTAAAATAAAAAATCCTATCAGGAACCAAATATACCATAAAAGCTGTTCAATGAGAAAAAAAGTAAAATAAATTATTGTTTAATGGAGAATCCATTTAAAATCTGTTATAGATATATCATAGTTTAAAGGAAAATACATTAAAGTGTAATATAAAGAGTACATTTTGGAAGGACCAATGTGATGATTTCTCATCAATATAATTAACCTGTAGAATTAATCAGCATGGTTATGGGGTTTTTTGTCCTATTATTTGACAATTTCAATAATATCAACCAAGCCAACTTCTTTATATCAGATAATTTTTTAAATGCAGGTAGTCTGACCACAAGAAAATACTCAAACCAAAACTTGAAAAATATGGAGGAATACTCCATGGCTTATGGATGGGAAGATTTAAGATATAATAAAGATATCAATTCTCCCAAATTTAAACTATAAATTCTATATAAATCTTATCAATATTTTAACATCAACAAACTCAAAAAGTGTATTGTAATCAAAATTTAGGAGAAAACTGAAATTGAATTTTTATACCATATTCACCATATACAATGGTAAACTAAAGACAGCTTTAAACACAATGTGAAAAGGTAAAATGAACAGAAGATTATATTGAATATCTTTTGGAAGGGAAGGACCTTCTTAAAAAGACCTCCAAATATAACTCAAAAGATAAGAAAAGATGATGTCAGATTGGATTAAAAATGGTGGCATGAGAGGAGAGACAGAGGTTTCCTCCTAAAACTGGATACAATTAGAAAATATAGTTGGTGTAACTAATCCTGAGAGAGCAACAGGAAAGACGACAGTGTCAGACTGCACA